TATATATATATATGTAGGAGACGCATTTTTTTTTTCTTTTTTTGTTTGTCTTTGCAGAAGTCTGAAGGCGGTCCTGTTGCTGCTGCTGCTGCTGCTGCTGCATGCAATGTTAGCAGCAGCAGCAGCTGCTGCTGCAGCTGCTGTTGTTATTGCTGCTGCTGCAAACAATGTTAGTTGTTGCTGTTGCTTCCCCCTCTAGCAGCAGCAACAGCAGCAGCAGCAGCAAACAGCAACTGCAACAATAGGAAATAAATTATACAGAAAAATAAAAAGCCCCATAAATAACTCTCCCTTGCCTCAAGACAATGTATACACATACACCTACATGCATGCATGCATGCATGCATGCATTTGTCTGCATGCATGACGCATGCATTAGTACATTTGTGCGCATGCGCTTGCATGCATTTGTTTGCATATTACATGCATGCATCTATTTGCATGCATCTATCTATCTACCTGCATGCATGCATGCATGCATGCATGCATGCATGCATTTTGGGGCTGGTTTTTGTGTATTGGTGTATTTGTGTATATTGGGGGAGTTTTTTGGGTTTTGTTTGTGTTTGATCTTTTTGAATAAATTGCATGCATGCATCTAATTATACCATTTAAGGTTTATTAATTAATTAATTAATTAATTAAATTAATTAAATTAATTAATTAATTAAATTAATTAGGAAGAAGAAGAAGAAAGAAAAGAATATTAATTGTCCTCCTCTTATTTATAGGGTATATATTTCTTTTCTTTTTTTTTTTTCTTATTACTATATAATATATATAATACATAATATATTATTATTTATTATTAATTAATTAATTAATATATTATTTAGGTGTATATACACCTCAACAATATATTATTGCTGCTGTCTTTGCCGCATAAGACATACAGCATATATATATAACTTTATTATTATTCTTTCTTTCTTCTTTCTTCTTATTTATTCTTTTTTTTTCTTTTTTTCTTCTTTTTTCTTCTTATTATTTATTTCTTATTGCGGCCTTTTACTAACAATAAAAAAATTAAATATTTATATACCGCTTACCTCCCTGTACACCCCAATTATAGCTGCCTATACACCCCAATATTTATCTATATACCCTACTAGTAGCTGCCTATACACCGCAAATAGTCCTTATTAATATCCTTTTTTTTTGTATATTTTTATACACCATTAATAGCTGCCTATACACCCCAGTAAAAATATATATAGCCTAATAATTGCTGCCTATACACTACAAGAATAGGTGCCTATACACCCCAATATTACCGAGCTGCCTATACACCCCAATATTTATCTACATACTATACTACCAGCTGCCTATATACCGCAGAACATCCCTATACACCCCAATAATAGCTACCTGCCTATACACCCCAATAATAGCTAGCTGCCTATACACCCCAATAATAGCTAGCTGCCTATACACCCCAATAATAGCTAGCTGTCTAGACACCCCAATAATAGCTAGCAGCCTAGACACCCCAATAATAGCTAGCTGCCTATACACCCCAATAATTCCTGTGTATAATATACTATATGAATATATTATTTATATAAATCCTCTATTTGCCTATCTAGTAGTATACCTGCCTATACACCCCAATATATTATTATATATATAAATTATATAAGCTGCCTATACACCCCAATATAATCTTATATATAGCAAATAAATAAGGTGCCTATACACCTCACCTAATAACTAGAGAGAAGGGAAAGAAAATAAGGGGCCTCCTTTATTTATTTAATTAATAATAATTGGGGTGTATAGGCACCTCATCTATCTACCTATCTATATATATCTATATTAATAATATATATTTATTCTTTTTTTTTTTTCTTTTTTTTTTTATTAAATAAAAGAGACAAAACAAAGAAAAGAAGAAAAACCCCAACAAACCCATTAAATGTTATTAGTTTACCACAAACAACAATCAAATACTGCAGCAGCAGCAGCAGCAGCAGCAGCAGCAGCAGCAGCAGCAGCTGTTGCTGCTACTGCTGTTTATGCTGCTGCTTATGCTGCTGCAGTTGTTGCAGCAGCAATAGCTGCTGCACCGCCACCACCACCACCATCCGCTGCTGCTCCTCCTGCTGCTGCTCCTCCTGCTGCTGCTGCTGCTGTTGCTGCTGTAATGATTGCTGCTGCAGTGTTATAATATATATAAACAAGTTGATGGGGCTGTTGCATGCATGCATAGATGCATGCATAATCTATCCATCCTTGCATACATATGCATGCATGCATGCATGCATATATATATCTCCATACATCAATATATGCATCAACACATGGACTACTGCATGAAGAGTTGCATGCAGCCCCATTATGCATGCATGCATGCATTTAATAGTCCTCGAAGTATGGCTCTGGCTCAAGGAATTCTTCCTCCTCTACCTTAACAAACTCTCCCTCTCTTGGCTGTTGAGGTATTCTTTTAGTAATTATATTCTTTCCTTGTAAATGTGCATCATGATGTAATTTATCATTAGTAATTATTCTTGATAAGAATAAAGAATTACATTTACTTTTACGTAAATGTTCAATACGTACATGTATTCTTTTTATTATTTGTCTATTTCTTACTACTTTCTTTACCTCTACTCCTATAGAACGAGGAGTTATATTAAATACTATTCCTGTCCTACCATGATAATAAGAATAAGGCATTCCTTTCTGTATAGAGGGATCACAAATTATATCTACATAATCTCCTTTTTTATAGGGTACTAGGTACCGACTTACTGCGGGCATACCCCGCATGCGGAAACCCTTCGAGTATTTCTGACGGGTACGCGCACGCTTACCGAATGATGTAGGCATTTTCTTTTATTTATTTTATCTATTTTATCCTTTTTTATTAAAAAAAGAAAAAAAAAACAACCAGAAATACCCCTCTAATACACTAAATAAACAGGAAATGCGTACCCAACTAGCTGCATAGACACCCCGCACATTCTGCATGCATGCATGCATGCATGCATGCATGCAGGTACAAATAAGCAGCAGCAGAAGCAGTAGGAGAGGAGCAGGAATTATAAATATATATATATATATTAATTATAAAATAATAATATCTATTTTATTTTATTATTCATTATTTATATTTTATATATTTATTAATTTCCTCCTTTTATACAACACAATTGTACCTGCTCCTCTTGGTGTTGCTGCTGCTCTTGTTGCTCCTGTGGGGTACTATATATACTAACGGGGCTTTAAAATGTTCTTTCTTTCTGTTTTTTATTAATTAAATATACATTTTATTTATTTTATTCTTTTTTATTTCTTTTTTAGTCTTTAATGGAGGAATAATGAGGTATACTGCATACCCCCTCCTCCCCTGCTGCTGCTCCAGCAGCAGTAGGAGTAGCAAGGGGGTATATATGTTTTATTTTATACAGTAATTAAATTAAATTAAATTAAATTAAATAATTTATTTATTTATTTATTAATTTATTAATTTATTTATTTATTTATTTTATTTCTTCCTTATAAAATTGTTTCCTTAGTACTGCTGCATGCATGCATGCATGCATAAATAATTATATTTGTATATATTATGTATAAAAATATTTACTTTTATCCTTTCTTTTTAATAAAAGAAAAAAGAATAAAATAAAAAGAAACAGAAATAAATAAAGGGTTTATTCTTATTAGGGTTTATTCTTATTAGGGTTTATTCTTATTAGGGTTTATTCTTATTAGGGTTTATTATTAATTATTAGGGTTTACTACTATTAGGGTTTATTCTTATTAGGGTTTATTCTTAATTAATTATATACTATAAACAAGAGAATAAAAAGAATAACTAATAAAAAGGATAAATAAATAAATAAAATAAATAAATAAAGTAAAATAAATAAATAAAAGTAAATAAAATAAATAAATAATAGGTGCGTATACACCTCAGCATTCAACAAGATTAGGTGTAGGTCTATCATGTCTTTTTTTGTATATTTCTCCTCCTTTTTGTTTATTAATAATATATTCATGAATAGGTAAATAATAATTATATATTTTATTTAATTTATTTAATTTATTTAATTTATTTAATTTATTTAATTTTTTTTCCCTTATTCGCTGTTCTTCTGTTATATAACTCCTTATATTATTAATACCCTGCCTATACACCTCAACATTATAATTATCAATATAATGCTGCAGCAGCTGCTGCTCTTTCCTGCTGCTATTATATAATTCGTGCTGCTGCAGCAGCAATAAATTATTAATTAATTCATGTATTTCTTTATTATTCCTACCTATTATAGCTAGCTGTCTAGCTAGCTGGGGATCTAAATATATTTTTTTTATGTACATTATACGTAAAACGTAAATTGTACGTGAATATAATTTACTTTTTATGCTCATTAATAGTGCTAATCTTAATATAGGCGGGCTAGTTGTTATACAATTTTCTTCTTTTTTCCTGCTGCTGCTGCTGCTGCTGCTGCTGCTGCTGCTGCTGCTGCTGGCGGTGGTTGCGGTGCTCGTGGTGCTCGTGGTGGTGGCGGTGGTGCTGTAGAGGTGTCTAAGGTTGCTGCTTAGACTGCTGTTGCTTATGCTGCTGCTGCTGCTGCTGCTGCTGCTGTTGCTGCTGCTGCTGCTGTTGCTGTTTTCGTTAAGGAAACTGGTGGTATCCTCTTCTGCTGCTGATGCTTCTTCTGTTGCTGCTTCCTCTTCCTCTTCTGCTGCTGCTGCTGCTGCTGCTGCTGCCTCCTGAGGGTTTATTCCTTCTTTGTCTGATCTTAAGAAGTCCCATAGAGCAAAGAAACGTCCTGGATCATTTAGATCTAATGCAAACATCCTGTATACATAAACCCTAAACCCTAAACCCTAAACCCTAAACCCTAAACCCTAAACCCTAATTTTAATAAATACTCTTTTATATTCTCCAACAATACCATTTCAACAAATACCCATAAACCCTAATAAACCCTAGATAACCCTAAACCCTCGTAAACCCTAGTAAACCCTCGTAAACCCTCGTAAACCCTAAACCCTAAACCCTAAACCCTAATTACCTGAGTAGTATAGCATATGTTTGTTGATTAGGAGCTAAATTAAAATCCTTAAAATGTTGCAACATATCCACAGCATATTGATAAAAACCTGCATGCCTATACACCTGAATAATATTATTTAGTGTCTGTGTTTGGGGCTGCATGCGTTGCTGCTGCATGCAATGGATTACATGCCATGCATAACGTATATTATTATATTTTTCTTGTTTATTTATTTTTATTAATTTACTTGCTGCAGCAAATAAATATAATAAACTATTATAACCACGAATAGATAACTTTATTCCTTCTTGCTGCATTTGTTGCACTATTCCTCTTGCTGCTACTACGTCACCTTTTGTTGCGCATGCCTGTATATCCACACAAACCCTAAACCCTAAACCCTAAACCCTAAACCCTAAACCCTAAAAAGGGAATAACAAAAGACATAAACATTCTTTCTGTCTCTACATACATACATACACAACACATTATATAATATATACATATACATATATATACATATATACATACATACACACATACATATATACATATATACATACATACATAAATACATACATAAATAGCTAGCTAGCTAGCTAGCCATCTAGCTAGCTAGCTAGCTAGCTATATAGGTAGGTAGGTATATATATATACGTATATAATAATTACCTGTATAAGGGATTCATATACATAAGGAGTAATAGGCATTGCTTGTGCAACCATTTGATGATAAAAAAGGAAAGAAAAAGAAGAAAAAGATTTATATTTACTGCATGCATTTATAATGCATGCAAGTGTATAATCTGTGGGGTGTATATGCAGGTCCTGCATATCTTGTATAATAGATAATAATTTATTTATATTTTTTTTTTTTATATATAATTTAATTAATAATGTATACATAATTATATCTGGGGATAATTGTCTCCATATACGGCAATAATTAAAAATATTTTCTGCTGCTGCATGCAGCCCCAAATTCATGCATGCATGCATTAATATAGTATAATGTATAATATCTCCTTTTATATTATCTTCTTCCTCCATCTTACGTAGTATTGCTGCTGCTGCTGCTGCATCTCCTGCTGCTGCATGCGCATGCATTAATGCTGCATATACACGGGATGTTGGCTGCAGCAGCAAAGAACGCATCTTTAGATATATTATTCTTGCTGCTGCTGCTGCTGCTGCTGTCTTCTCTTTTGCTGCTACCAGCAGCAAAGACACAAACCATTCAGTGTCTGGTTGCAGTCCTGCTGCTGCTGCTTCCTCATACACCGCAACTGCAGCAGCAAGTCCTCCTCTAACTCCCTTCTGCTGCTGCTGCTGCTGCTGCTGCTGCTGCTGCTGCTGCTGCTGCTGCTGCTGCTGGGGGTATAGACCTCTTACACGAATAAGTGCAGCAATATTCTCGCTGCTTCCTCTACCTTCAGCAATAAGTTGCTGCACAGACACCCCATTTGTTGTTGCTGCTGCTGCTGCTAATTCTTCCTGTCTCCTTCTTCTCTCTATACCATCATAATAATTAAGTGTCTCCTTTATGTCTTGTATTATTCGGGTGTCTAGGCACCTATTAGATGCATGCAATAATGCTTGCTGCTTTAGATCACGAACTAAACGAGCACCACTATCTAATAAATCATCCCTGCTGCTGCTGCTGCTGCTGCTGCTGTTGCTGCTGCTGTTGCTGCTGCTGGGTAGTTGGCTAGGTATAACCGCGTCACCAGCTGCAGCAACAGCAGTACGAGGGCAAGGAGGAACTTTCTCCGTGTCCTGCTGCTGCTGCTGCTGCTGTTGTTGTTCCTGCTGCTGCTGTTGCTGCTGCTGCTGCTGCTGTTCGGGTGTATAGGGACCTTTTAATGCATGCTTAATTAACCTGTAGGGTTCTACCTTCTTTCTTGCCTGCGGAGGAGCAGCAAAGGAGACATCTGCTGCTGCCTTATTAGCTAATAATTCTATTAGTCGCTCCTGCTGCTGCTGCTGCTGCTGCTGCAGTTGCTGCTGCTCCCCTTTAAATGTCCACTCACGACGTGCTGCAGCAGCAGCAGCAGCAGCTGCAGCAGCAGCAGAAGGTGGCGGATCTTCAGGCCATTCAAAAACTTTTGGCTGCTGCTGCTGCTGCTGCTGCAGTTGCTGCTGCTGCTGCTGCTGCTGTGCAACTTTCGCCCCATCAAGCAGCTCCTGCGTGGGGTCTGTTGCTGCTGCTGCTGCTGAATCCTCAGCAGCAGCAGCAGCAGCAGCAGCAGCAGGCTGCTGCAAGTATAATATACTTGGAGGAAGTGTCTCCTTTTGTGTCTCCTCTGGTAGTCTCCATACAGCATTACATTTAATTTTTGCTGCTTCCTTAGGTATAAATGCAGCAGGTCCTGCTGCTGCTGCTGCTGCTGCTGCATCTGTTGCTGCTGCTGCTGCTGCTTCTGTGTCTTGTGTCTCTAGTATTGTATCTAATGGCTCTCCTGTGTCTTCTTCAAATATAGATCCTGCTGCTACTTGTGCTGCTGCTGCTGCTGCTGCTGCTCCATAGCCCATATCTGCTGCTGCAGGACCATGAGTAGCAGCAGCAGCAGCAGCAGCAACAGCAGCAGCAGCAGCAACACAAGACACAGGTTCCTCATTACCTTTACCTACAAAACTCCAATGGCTATGAGGCAATTCTGCTGCTCTTCTTTTTTTTAATCTTTTATGCTGCTGCGCTAGTGCAGCAACTCTTGCTGCTGCTGCTGCTGTTGCTGCTGCTGTTTCTGCTGCTGCTATTCCTCCTGGTGATTCGGCTCCTTCTCCTGCTGCTGCTGCTGCTGCTGCTGCTGCTGCTGCTGCACGATCAGGGATGGCCTGAAGGTCCGATTCACCTCCATTTTCAGCAGCAGCAGCAGCTGCAGCTGCTGCAGCTGCTGCTGCTGCTGCACGCTGCTGCTGCCGCTGCCGCTGCCGCTCTTCTTGCTGCTCTGTGCATTTCTTCATATTTCTTCTTAGCAGCAAATAACGAGCACGAGAACTCAAGACATGATTCTGCTGCTGCTGCTGCTGCTGCTGTTGCTGCTGCTGCTGCTGCTGCTGCAGTCCCTGCAGATACTGCTGGTGTTGTTGTGGTTGCTGCTGCTGCTGCAACGTGACAGCAGCAGCAGCTGCAGCAGCAGCAGTGTACGTTCTGACTAGACAACATATTGGTAAGAGTCGCTGCTGCTGCCCTGCTGCTTGCAGGGCACACAGAGCACGCCTCATTGGATAAACCCTAAACCCTAAACCCTAAACCCTAAACCCTAAGCAAAGCAGGATATTAAACCCTATGTCGGGGCCTCTTCTGTTTATACTGTGGTGTACAAAAACAACAAACCCTAAACCATAAACCCTAAACCCTACACCCTAGGGTTTAGGGCGCTTAGAAGATCTGTCGGCCTTCTATTGGGTTGGCTCCCTGCGCCGAAGGCGTAGGGTCTCGGAAAACCCTAAACCCTAAACCCTAAACCCTAAACCCCACAACAGCATTAAATAGATGTTGACGAAGACTCTTACACCATAAAACCCTGACAAGGGTTTAACTAATACAAATACGAGGAAGAGGGTCTTTCTGCCAAGCCCTAAACCCTAAACCCTAAACCCTAAACCCTAAACCCTTGACAAAGCGATGTCTCGGGGCGGTTTACGGTGTATGCCTGTATTACTTTTTGCTGTATATTTATTTTTAATTAAGATAAACCCTTTTTTAGTTTATTTTTATTTTTATTTTTTATTTAATTAACAAATAAGAGGGAAATAAACCTCCT